GACTCTACCATGACTAGCCCATAGCCTTTTGCAATGTGGGGCTTGGACATAGTAGGACCACTTCCAACAGTACCCGGCAACAGGAAGTTCTTTCTCGCAGCAACAGACTACTTCACAAAGTGGGTGGAAGCAGAAGCATTGGCATCAATCAAGGAAAAAGATGCGAAGAAGTTCGTCTGGCAAAACATCATCACTCGGTTTGGCATACCAAAAGCCCTAATCTTAGACAATGGCACTCAGTCGACGGCAGAATCTTCAGAGGCTTTTGTGAAGAGTACAAGATAGAGTTCTTATATTCTACACCGCGCAACTCATACCAGGCCAAGCAAATGAGGATTCAGAGAAGCTTCAAACAGATTCTTGGAGGATTGAAGAAGAGAGAGGTCAGAAGGAAGTGGGCGGAAGAATTTCCTCATGTTTTATGGGCTTACGCCACAACACCTCGACGATCAACAGGAGAAACACCATTCTCCTTAGCCTACGGAATGGAAGCAGTAATCCCACTGGAAGTTGGCTTCCCACAATTCGAAGCGAAAATTTTGATCCCGACTTGAATGGAGAAGCCACAACATTGGGAGCTCGACCTCGCCGAAGAAAGAAGAGAAAGAGCACTAGGCCACATTGCCTCGTATCAACAAGAGTATCCAGGAAATACAACAAAACAATACATCCAAGGCAATTTCAAGATCGGAGATTGGGTGCTGCGCAAAGTAATGGGAAACACCCTGGTGCTAGGAGATGGCAAGGTAGGGCCTAATTGGGAAGTCCTTACAAAGTGGTTAGGTTAGCAGGCAAAGGGGCATACCACCTAGAAGACAAGGACGACAAAGCAATCCCTAGGCCATGGAACACAGCCAATCTCAAGTTTATTTATTTTTAGCTTTCCTTTTCAAACATGTGTAATTTTTTCTTCCTCAATAAAACAAATCGATCTTTTTCAGCATAAGTTGTTCTCTGTAAAAGTTAGCTTTAGTGAAGTTAGGTATATTGCAAACATTATTCTAAGTTGGCTGGAAAAGCTAACTTAGAGGTTGGCTGGATTAAACCAACACCCCTCCTAAGCCCAGGATAAGGATCCAGGCTGCAGGACGTTTGGTCGGAATAACCAAACATTATTCTAAGTTGGCTGAAAAAACTAACTTAGAGGTTGGCTGGATTAAACCAACACCCTCCTAAGCCCAGGATAAGGATCCAGGCTTGTAGAACGTTTGGTCGGAATAACCAAACATTATTCTAAGTTGGCTGAAAAACTAACTTAGAGGTTGGCTGGATTAAACCAACACCCTTCCTAAGCCCAGTATAAGGATCCAGGCTGCAGGACGTTTAGTCCGGAATAACCAAACATTATTCTAAGTTGGCTGAAAAAACTAAACTTAGAGGTTGGCTGGATTAAACCAACACCCTTCCTAAGCCCAGGATAAGGACTCAGGCTGCAGGACATTTGGTCGAAAAAACCAAACATTCTTTTCTAAGTTGGTTGAAAAAACCAACTCTTAGAACTCTTTTAGCCAAAGTAAAAACATCGGCTAAAGAGTGGTTGACTGGACTAAACTAACTCTTAGTACTCTTTAGCCGAAGTAGGACATCAGCTAAAAGAGTGGTTGGCTGGATTTAAACCAACTCTTAGTACTCTTTAGCCGAAGTAAGGACATCAGCTAAAAGAGTGGTTGGTTGGATTAAACCAACTCTTAGTACTCTTTGGCCGAAGTAAGGACATAGGCTAAAGGATGGTTGGCTGGATTAAACCAACTCTTAGTACTCTTTAGCCGACGTAAGGACATCGGCTAAAAGAGTAGTTGGCTGGATTAAACCAACTCTTAGTACTCTTAGCCGAAGTAAGGACATTGGCTAAAAGAGTGGTTGGCTGGATTAAACCAACTTTTAGTACTCTTTAGCCGAAGTAAGGACATCGGCTAAAGAGTGGTTGGCTAGTAAGCTCAGTCAGATTGCTCAACTGAGACCGGAATAAAATATCTCGGCCACACTACTATTTGAAAGCAAGCTCAAAACAGGAATTTAAACCGAGATAACAGTTGGAAGTGAAAAGATCATGGAAAAGTCATTACAAGTACAAACATGCAGATCAACCGAAATAAGAGTTCAAAACAAGAAAAATTCATTCATCAAAGAGCAATTACAAAGGAGGGGCCATAGCCGGTTACAAGAGCAAAAAGTTACAAAAGAAACAAGAAAAAGTGCAAAATCAGCTAAAAAGGTCTTCAAGGTCGGCGCCAATATCAACTTGAGCACCGGTTGCAGATGGAAGATTAGTCTCAGTAGCAACTATGTCAGTCGGCGGCTCAACGTCAGGTCTTCAACCGTTGGCTCCAAACGAGACTGACTGATCGTTGCCTTGCTCATTAACTATCGAAGTAACAGTTGGTTCGTTTTCTTCATCTTCATCATCTAAACCCTGCAAAAATTATTGTTGGGCAGAAGCGCATTATTCCCGCTTAGTGAGGCCGGAATGAAGTACTGCGGAGCATTGTAGACCTCGGTTTTCGGGCCCACAGCCGAGCTGTTCCACAGCACTTCTCCAGCCACACTTAAAAAATAAGTCCTTCGCCCCCTCACATTGCGGAATGTTAGAGGCCTTCCGCCTCCTTGAAACCTTCGGCGTTGGCATCTCCCACATTCTTCTTCAGTTCGGCTATTTCGGCGTCCTTTTCAAGCTTGACTAGCTCACGAAAGTACTTGTCTTTCATTACGAACAACGCCTTCTGTTTGTCAGCTTCAGCCCGAAACTAGTCCGGTTAGACGAGCTACCTCAGCCTCTAGCTCGGCCGTCTTTGTACTGCGGCTCATAACGGCCCAATATTCAGCTCAGCCCTATTTGTACTAATGTACATACTAGTGTACTAATAGATGATTATGAATAAACTAATTAATATGAATAAACTTTTGAATATGAATAAACTAATTAATATACATACTAGTGTACTAATAGATGATTTAACATCATTTGTATGGTTTTAGATATTTGTAATTTATATAATAATGTGGTCAATAATAATATCATAACACTAGTTGGTGCATGTAGCACTAGGGGAAATTCTATTTTCACACACTTAATTATCTCAATTCAAATCATTTAAGTATACACACTTTATAATTTAATTATTAATTAGTTTTCTCAATCTACACACTAAATGTATCAATTATACCCTTCACTCATTTCATTGTACACACATCCCTTCAACCCTCCTTCACACATTTGTCTCTCTTTTCACATGCTATTACTATGGTTTGAAAATTTGAAGACTCACAGTGCTACAACAGTCAAAATAAGATCCACAATGACGAATTTTGCTCTATTGAAGACCTCCATTCTCAGAGAAAAGGAAATAAAAAAATCTCTAACCTAATTCTTTAATCTTCTTAATTAATTTTAGTTCATCTACCCAGTTTTTCAATCATAAACCAAGAGATATGCAGAGAGATAAAATTAAATAAATAAAATAAGTTGACTTGAATAGACATTAAACATATATAAGGAATTGACCAAACCCCAAATCCTAGATCGATATGAGTAAAAAAACACCATGAGAGTACTAAATCTTAGCTAACTATTATTATTATTTTTTGAGTATTTATTTAATTTGGTTTCCTCACACTTACCATTGATTGGAGAAATAATCGAGTGTTGATTTCAAGGAATCAATAAGTGCAAATAGTTTGTATTGTATGTAGTTCGTATTTTTTGTATCATATCATCGTCCCATTCACTCTTCAACAGAAATGGTTCTCATTCTCAAAATTCAACCCGACACTTTCGCCTTCAATCCTGGGTTGAGTCGACCCAGTCCTCTATTGGAAAACCTCACTTCTTAGATAATAATAATAATAATAATAATAATAATAATCCTCAACCCAGTTCTTCAATTTTCTTAATTAATTTTAGTTCCTCAATCCAGCTCTTCAATTATAAACCAAAGAGCATTTTATGTTGATAAGAAGATAAATAAAAAAAATAATTAATCATAAACCAAAGAGCAAAGCATTTTCACTACTTTTTTGAGGGCTATGCTTTGCTGATTAACAATCCTTAACACAGTTCTTCAATTTTCTTAGTTAATTCAGTTGAATCTCAAAAAAAAAAAACAAAAATGCAATCTCTCTCAACATGTGACAACAATAGAAAAATTAGGGTTTATTTATTTATTTTTTAAATTCAAAAGGTGTATATTTAGTTTTTTTATTCTTAAAAGATGCGTACAATTTTTTTTTCAAATAATATTATAGATGTTGTTGGATGTGTAATATAATTATTTTTATTTAAGATATAATTATTATTAAATTAATATTTATTAAGGGGTGTTTGTGATGACTTAAATAAGTGTGACTTTTTGTCTTTTTACGAAAAGAATTTAAAAAAATAAAGAACTGATATGATAAAAAAAATAAAAGATGAATTATTTTGATATTGTCAAACTTAACCTAAATATGTACCATGAGCTAATTATGTGGTTGAAAATAAAATTTCCTAGCACCACCGGTTGAATTTTAATTAATGATAATGATTTTTTTTTCCCCAAAATAATCCAAAACCGACTCAGCGGATGCCTCTACTTCACTCAACAGATAACCCGAGGGCTATTTCGACATTTCATGTTTCTATAAAATGGAGAAATTGTAGAGAGAGGAGAGAGAAAGAGAGCGACTGGAAGAGAGGAGACAACACAGAAAGAGAAGGAAGAGAGAGAGAGAGAGAGAGAGAGAGAGGGTAATATATGTATGAGTGAGAGAGGGGCAACAATGGTGTCCGACCAGGACATAGCCGAAGCACTAGAGTCTCTTCTTCGCGAAACAAACCCTAGTTCCCCAATCACCTCCCTAAACGGTGTCGTCCAGCAGTTGGAGTCGAAACTAGGGTTAGACCTCTCCCACAAGTCGATTTCATCCGTACCCAGATCCAGTTCCTCTTCCGATCTCACCCACCACCACTCCTCCGCCGCCGCAACAACAACAACCCCATCTCCACCACCACCACCACCACCATCACCATCAACAGCAACAGCAACAGCAACAGCAACAGCAACAGCAACAGCAACAACCTCCTCCCAAAGATCACTTTCTCCTCCACCAAAAACCCTAATTTCCATGCCGCTCCTTCGCAGCTCCCTCCCAATTTCACCGTTCACCGGCCACAGCATCCGCCTCCGGCGACAAAGACTGAGTCTTTGGTCACCGATGTGGCTACCTCCGCCGCCTCTAGTGCTGCTGCTGCTACCCCTGCTGAAACCCCCAAAGAGAGGTATGTTTTCATTGGCGAGAAATCGATTTAATTTTCTACTAAATTTGTAATTTAGGATATGCATGATTGGTTTATTGAAGTATGAAATATATGTTGAAGTTGCAGTCTTTAACTTAGGAAGATTTGTTTTTCTATAAAAAAAAAAAAAAATATTGGGTTATTTCTCAATTTGTAATCCTGATTGTGTTCCATCATTTTCATTTACAAAGAGTTCCGCGTTTGTGATTCTCATTTTACTAATCAGACAAATGCAACCATTTTATACCTCTTAAACATAGACACTTTAAAAACTGAATTACTTACACCTTTTAAATCTATATATTACCAACCAAACACTATCGCATGTGGCATACCACGTTATTGTTCCTTGTACTGGAACGATCTGTGTTTCAGATAACATAGCCATGTTCCTAGTGAAATTTTGTCCCTTGAGGGTGTTTTTGTCTAAACGGTTACTCTACTTCACCCTCTCAAGTCCAACTGCATTTGGTTATATGGAATTATCCCCAATGATTAGTAAAAAAAACTGATCTCATACTCATTCATACTCATTTCCAACTCTCATGTGTGTGGCTGCCTTTTCCAGTAACCTTTCTCAGTGAGATTCTCATATTGGAATGTGTCATTTGATCCTTGGCTTATGTGGTCGTGTTATTTATTGTCTCTTTGCAGTGCCCAACCTGCAAAAAAAAAGAAAGGTGGCCCAGGGGGGTTAAACAAGCTTTGTGGGTTTCACCTGAACTTCAGGTCATTGTCGGGCATCAGCACTGCTAGGACTGAGGTTCAGACTTCTGGATAAGATGATTCTTTGTTTAAAATAAAAATAAAAATAATCCTTTTTTTGATCCCCCCCCCCCCCTCCTTGGCGACTTTGAGCCATGCACGGATTAAGAACTGCATTGTTTTGATGCTTTCAGAACCGGTAGGTCAAAATTCTAAGAAACCGAAAGTCGAAGTGGAATCAGGGACCAAAAGTGGCGAATCTGGTCCAGTTGTGGTAATATCTGAAGCACTTGCAAATTTTTTTGGTATGGGTGGAAGAGAGATGCTGCATTCTGAAGTCATAAGACGTGTTTGGGAATACATAAAGTTCAACCAACTCGGGGTGCGTAAACCAACTGCATGGCTCAGTTCAATTTATTTTGTTAGAAATTTATCTTGATATGATAGGTTTATTAACTACAAGAACTTGATTGATATGGCCATTAGTTTTTGTGAGACCTGTAGTTAATTTGGGACATAAACATGCTATGATACTGACTGAGAAATGTGAAAGATACATTAAACGTTATTAATTGCTAGGGACGAAATTGCCAACATACAACCTTAGAAAAGAAGTGGCAAGTCCATTTTTCTTTTTCTAAATTTGCACTTTCAAGGATATGTAATACTTCGCCTCTCTTCTGAGATTCTCATGAGAATTACTTAATTTTATAATTTTGTGTTACTCTATTTTTGGTATTTGGATGTTAATGGTTGGTAAGATTACAGTAATTTAGTACAGTAGTTATATTGCTACGTAATCTGTATCAACCTTTTTTCCTTAATTTCCAGGATCCTCTGAGTTCCATGGTGATCCAATGTGATACAAAGCTTCAAGAGCTGTTTGGATGTGCAACCATTTCTACATTGGGGATCCCTGAGATGTTAGCACGCCATCATCTATTTAAGAGATGATGACAAATGATATCGTTGACAGGTTAGTATGTTTAGTTACTATATATATGCATTGTTTACTTGCATATTTTTCTTGGCAGCTTTTGTCCTTCACTTTTGCTCAATATGCTGTCGGCTAAAGAGTGGTTGGCTAGTAAGCTCAGTCAGATTGCTCAGCTGAGACCGGAATAAAATATCTCGGCCACACTACTATTTGAAAGCAAGCTCAAAACAGGAATTTAAACCGAGATAACAGTTGGAAGTGAAAAGATCATGGAAAAGTCATTGCAAGCACAAACATGCAGATCAACCGAAATAAGAGTTCAAAACAAGAAAATTTTCATTCATCAAAGAGCAATTACAAAGGAGGGGCCATAGCCCGGTTACAAGAGCAAAAAGTTACAAAAGAAACAAGAAAAAGTGCAAAATCAGCTAAAAAGGTCTTCAAGGTCGGCGTCAATATCAACTTGAGCACTGGTTGCAGATGGAAGATTAGTCTCAGTAGCAACTATGTCAGTCGGCGGCTCAATAGTCAGGTCTTCAACCGTTGGCTCCAACCGAGCTGACTGATCGTTGCCTTGCTCATTAACTACCGGAGTAACAGTTGGTTCGTTTTCTTCATCTTCATCATCTAAACCCTGCAAAAATTATTGTTGGGCAGAAGCAGCATATTCCGCTAGTGAGGCCGGAATGAAGTACTGCGGAGCATTGTAGACCTCGGTTTCGGGCCCACAGCCGAGCTGTTCCACAGCACTTCTCCAGCCACACTTAAAAAATAAGTCCTTCGCCCCCTCACATTGCGGAATGTAGAGGCCTTCCGCCTCCTTGAAACCTTCAGCGTTGGCATCTCCCACCTTCTTCTTCAGTTCGGCTATTTCGGCGTCCTTTTTTCCTTCAAGCTTGACTAGCTCACGAAAGTACTTGTCTTTCATTACGAACAACGCCTTCTGTTTGTCAGCTTCAGCCGAGGTAACTAGTCCGGTTAGACGAGCTACCACAGCCTCTAGCTCGGCCGTCTTTGTACTGCGGCTCATAACGGCCCAATATTCAGCTCGGCCGTCTTTGTACTGCGGCTCATAACGGCCCAATATTCAGCTCGGCCCTATTTGTACCAATGTACATACTAGTGTACTAATAGATGATTATGAATAAACTAATTAATATGAATAAACTTTTGAATATGAATAAACTAATTAATATACATACTAGTGTACTAATAGATGATTTAACATCATTTGTATGGTTTTAGATATTTGTAATTTATATAATAATGTGGTCAATAATAATATCATAACACTAGTTGGTGCATGTAGCACTAGGGGAAATTCTATTTTCACACACTTAATTATCTCAATTCAAATCATTTAAGTATACACACTTTATAATTTAATTATTAATTAGTTTTCTCAATCTACACACTAAATGTATCAATTATACCCTTCACTCATTTCATTGTACACACATCCCTTCAACCCTCCTTCCACACATTTGTCTCTCTTTTCACATGCTATTACTATGGTTTGAAAATTTGAAGACTCACAGTGCTACAACAGTCAAAATAAGATCCACAATGACGAATTTTGCTCTATTGAAGACCTCCATTCTCAGAGAAAAGGAAATAAAAAAATCTTAACCTAATTCTTTAATCTTCTTAATTAATTTTAGTTCATCTACCCAGTTTTTCAATCATAAACCAAAGAGATATGCAGAGAGATAAAATTAAATAAATAAAATAAGTTGACTTGAATAGACATTAAACATATATAAGGAATTGACCAAACCCCAAATCCTAGATCGATATGAGTAAAGAAAACACCATGAGAGTACTAAATCTTAGCTAACTATTATTATTATTTTTTTGAGTATTTATTTAATTTGGTTTCCTCACACTTACCATTGATTGGAGAATTAATCGAGTGTTGATTTCAAGGAATCAATAAGTGCAAATAGTTTGTATTGTATGTAGTTCGTATTGTTTGTATCATATCATCGTCCCATTCACTCTTCAACAGAAATGGTTCTCATTCTCAAAAATTCAACCCGACACTTTCGCCTTCAATCCTGGGTTGAGTCGACCCAGTCCTCTATTGGAAAACCTCACTTCTTAGATAATAATAATAATAATAATAATAATAATAATCCTCAACCCAGTTCTTCAATTTTCTTAATTAATTTTAGTTCCTCAATCCAGCTCTTCAATTATAAACCAAAGAGCATTTTATGTTGATAAGAAGATAAATAAAAAATAATTAATCATAAACCAAAGAGCAAAGCATTTTCACTACTTTTTTGAGGGCTATGCTTTGCTGATTAACAATCCTTAACACAGTTCTTCAATTTTCTTAGTTAATTTCAGTTGAATCTCAAAAAAAAAAAACAAAAATGCAATCTCTCTCAACATGTGACAACAATAGAAAAATTAGGGTTTATTTATTTATTTTTTAAATTCAAAAGGTGTATATTTAGTTTTTTTATTCTTAAAAGATGCGTACAATTTTTTTTTTCAAATAATATTATAGATGTTGTTGGATGTGTAATATAATTATTTTTATTTAAGATATAATTATTATTAAATTAATATTTTATTAAGGGGTTGTTTGTGATGACTTAAATAAGTGTACTTTTTGTCTTTTTACGAAAAGATATTTAAAAAAATAAAGAACTGATATGATAAAAAAAATAAAAAGATGAATTATTTTGATATTGTCAAACTTAACCTAAATATGTACCATGAGCTAATTATGTGTTTGAAAATAAAATTTCCTAGCACCACCGGTTGAATTTTAATTAATGAATAATGATTTTTTTTTCCCCAAAATAATCCAAACCGACTCAGCGGATGCCTCTACTTCACTCAACAGATAACCCGAGGGCTATTTCGACATTTCACGTTTCTATAAAATGGAGAAATTGTAGAGAGAGGAGAGAGAAAGAGAGCGACTGGAAGAGAGAGAGACAGACACAGAAAGAGAAGGAAGAGAGAGAGAGAGAGAGAGAGAGAGAGGGTAATATATGTATGAGTGAGAGAGGGGCAACAATGGTGTCCGACCAGGACATAGCCGAAGCACTAGAGTCTCTTCTTCGCGAAACAAACCCTAGTTCCCCAATCACCTCCCTAAACGGTGTCGTCCAGCAGTTGGAGTCGAAACTAGGGTTAGACCTCTCCCACAAGGTCGATTTCATCCGTACCCAGATCCAGTACAGAAGAAGCCGACAATGAAGCTCGATCTCACCCACCACCACCTCCTCCGCCGCCGCAACAACAACAACCCCATCTCCACCACCACCACCATCACCATCACCATCAACAGCAACAGCAACAGCAACAACCTCCTCCCAAAGATCACTTTCTCCTCCACCAAAACCCTAATTTCCATGCCGCTCCTTCGCAGCTCCCTCCCAATTTCACCGTTCACCGGCCACAGCATCCGCCTCCGGCGACAAAGACTGAATCTTTGGTCACCGATGTGGCTACCTCCGCCGCCTCTAGTGCTGCTGTTGCTACCCCTGCTGAAACCCCCAAAGAGAGGTATGTTTTCATTGGCGAGAAATCGATTTAATTTTCTACTAAATTTGTAATTTAGGATATGCATGATTGGTTTATTGAAGTATGAAATATATGTGAAGTTACAGTCTTTAACTTAGGAGATGATTTGTTTTTCTATAAAAAAAAAATAAAAAATATTGGGTTAATTCTCAATTTGTAATCCTGATTGTGTTCCATCATTTTCATTTACAAAGAGTTCCGCGTTTGTGATTCTCATTTTACTAATCAGACAAATGCAACCATTTTATACCTCTTAAACATAGAGCACTTTAAAAACTGAATTACTTACACCTCTAAAATCTATATATTACCAACCAAACACTATCGCATGTGGCATACCACGTTATTGTTCCTTGTACTGGAACGATCTGTGTTTCAGATAACATAGCCATGTTCCTAGTGAAATTTTGTTCCCTTGAGGGGTGTTTTTGTCTAAACGGTTACTCTACTTCACCCTCTCAAGTCCAACTGCATTTGGTTATATGGAATTATCCCCAATGATTTAGTAAAAAAAACTGATCTCATACTCATTCATACTCATTTCAACTCTCATGTGTGTGGCTGCCTTTTTCCAGTAACCTTTCTCAGTGAGATTCTCATATTGGAATGTGTCATTTGATCCTTGGCTTATGGTGGTCGTGTTATTTATTGTCTCTTTGCAGTGCCCAACCTGCAAAAAAAAGAAGAGGTGGCCCAGGGGGGTTAAACAAGCTTTGTGGGGTTTCACCTGAACTTCAGGTCATTGTCGGGCATCCAGCACTGCCTAGGACTGAGGTTCAGACTCCTGGATAAGATATTCTTTGTTTAAAATAAAAAATAAAAATAATCCTTTTGAATATTGTTTCTTCTAAAGTTGTATTCTGGTTGGTTCAGATTGTAAAGCAGCTGTGGGCGTACATAAGGAAAAACAATCTTCAAGATCCAAGTAACAAACGGAAGATAATTTGTAATGATGAGCTGCGTTTGGTGTTTGAGACAGACTGTACTGACATGTTCAAGATGAATAAATTGCTAGCTAAACATATCATCTCTCTTGAGCCTAAAAGTATGTGTCTGTCGCTACAGTGCTTTTCATGTTCTACTTTTTCTTTACCCCCCCCCCCCCCCCCCCCCAGCGACTTTGAGCCATGCACGGATTAAGAACTGCATTGTTTTGATGCTTTCAGAACCGGTAGGTCAAAATTCTAAGAAACCGAAAGTCGAAGTGGAATCAGGGACCAAAAGTGGCGAATCTGGTCCAGTTGTGGTAATATCTGAAGCACTTGCAAATTTTTTTGGTATGGGTGGAAGAGAGATGCTGCATTCTGAAGTCATAAGACGTGTTTGGGAATACATAAAGTTCAACCAACTCGGGGTGCGTAAACCAACTGCATGGCTCAGTTCAATTTATTTTGTTAGAAATTTATCTTGATATGATAGGTTTATTAACTACAAGAACTTGATTGATATGGCCATTAGTTTTTGTGAGACCTGTAGTTAATTTGGGACATAAACATGCTATGATACTGACTGAGAAATGTGAAAGATACATTAAACGTTATTAATTGCTAGGGACGAAATTGCCAACATACAACCTTAGAAAAGAAGTGGCAAGTCCATTTTTCTTTTTCTAAATTTGCACTTTCAAGGATATGTAATACTTCGCCTCTCTTCTGAGATTCTCATGAGAATTACTTAATTTTATAATTTTGTGTTACTCTATTTTTGGTATTTGGATGTTAATGGTTGGTAAGATTACAGTAATTTAGTACAGTAGTTATATTGCTACGTAATCTGTATCAACCTTTTTTCCTTAATTTCCAGGATCCTCTGAGTTCCATGGTGATCCAATGTGATACAAAGCTTCAAGAGCTGTTTGGATGTGCAACCATTTCTACATTGGGGATCCCTGAGATGTTAGCACGCCATCATCTATTTAAGAGATGATGACAAATGATATCGTTGACAGGTTAGTATGTTTAGTTACTATATATATGCATTGTTTACTTGCATATTTTTCTTGGCAGCTTTTGTCCTTCACTTTTGCTCAATATGCTTGATCTTGAGACCATTGCTCTTCAGGGAAGGACCCATTGAAATTCATTTATATAAAATGATTAGAACTTAATATGGGCATGAAATGAAGTTCAATGCATTGTCATTCTCTCAAGTTTCTCATCACTTCAATTTGAGGCAGTCCAGGCATGTGATATTAAAATTCATCATAGGCAGTGAAGTTTTTTTTTTTTTGGTCTTTTTTTTTTAAGTATTTTTTTTCCCCATGCGATAGAATATTAGTAGGTTAGTAGTGTTAGATTATCACAACAGGCTGACACCACTCTGTTGACTCAAATCTGAGACCTCACCTCACTGGCACCTAGGTGCCTCCTCATGACCACTTGGGCTACAGCGCAAGTCTATTGGGGCCATGAAAGTAAAGATGCAACTCTTTTTAGTTTCTTGTCCCACATTTGGCTTCTGAATTTTTAAAAGTCTAATTTAAATATATTTGTTTGCTTGGGAGACATACAATTGTGATGTATCAGTTTTTTTAGAATTACTTTCTCTTTCCAGTTTGCTTTCCTCCCTCTGCGCTCAGGCACACCATAAGAAAAGTAAATTTGAGTAACATTTACTCAAGTCTTTAGTGGTTTGTTGCGTTGACATTATTGCATGCTATATGTATTGTGTTCTTTTTGGCTTTGCTTGAATTTATTGTAGCCAGTACTGCATTGGATGACTTAATTTCTATTTCGGCAATGACTCTCAGATGGGGTAGGCTGCATAAATTATTTTTTGCTATTTTTCTCTGTTAAGTTCTATATTCTCTTATTATAGTAGCATTAAAATTGAAATGAAATATTTTAGTTCATATTTAAATTGCTCCACAATGGATGACTTGATTTTCTAGCCATACTAGCTGTGATTCAACATTAATGAATTGTATGATTCCTTGCAGATACATGGTGTTTAATCTAACCTACTGGGTTCTGACGTTATAGCAAATACTACCCCGAATGGTTTATTTGTGTTTAGATTTCATGTTGACTCAGCTAGGTAAGTTGTGAGTAGAAAGAAAACGGAAAGGGGCTAATGGTGAGTTGTGTTGTGTACCTAGCACCAATAGTCCTCAGGTTATGTTTTTGTTATTTGGCATATCTTAGGGTTTACATTTCTGCTGGAATTTCTAACCGTTGTAAAATGCAGTCAATAGGAAAACAGGCGTCAATGTAAAGGATGATATTAACCCCCTATCTGATTATGCAAAACAGTATTAACTTAAGATCCACATCTTCTTAGTTGTGCGATTTCACTAAAAGGTTGCTTTCTTGGTTGTTACAATGGAAAAATCGTTTGCATGACAGGTGGTCTCGCTGAATTTGGGATGCATACAGGTTATCTGTTTGTGAATTAGGATTCATTTGCGAAGTGGGTTGGTTTTTGTTTATTTTAGTTTGGGACTAAAGTCTCGTTTGGAAAGAGTTTTCTAGCTTTTTTGACTTTTTGTGAGAAAAAGAATGTAATATTATGGGTTTGATATGATGTTTTTTCTTATTAGACTAAAAAATTTATTTTGTCTTTTTGTGATTAAAATAGTTCCAAACTTAACCCAACCTATCTTCCCAAATTTGGATGGTGTTTACCTAAGCTATCACCCACATTAATATCTCTGTAGAAATTCTTTTATATCTTGGTATAATATGCACTAGCATTTTACACATGATTTATGACAGTTGGTTGGCAGTTTGTTCTCGTCTTAATTTTCCTGGATTTTCTCGGTTTTGGGAGGGAGACACATGATTTATGACGGTTGGTTGGCAGTTTGTTCTCGTCTTAATTTTCCTGGATTTTCTCGGTTTTGGGAGGGAGACACATGATTTATGACGGTTGGTTGGCAGTTTGTTCTCGTCTTAATTTTCCTGGATTTTCTCGGTTTTGGGAGGGAGACACATGATTTATGACGGTTGGTTGGCAGTTTGTTCTCGTCTTAATTTTCCTGGATTTTCTCGGTTTTGGGAGGGAGACACATGATTTATGACAGTTGGTTGGCAGTTTGTTCTCGTCTTAATTTTCCTGGATTTTCTCGGTTTTGGGAGGGAGACACATGATTTATGACAGTTGGTTGGCAGTTTGTTCTCGTCTTAATTTTCCTGGATTTTCTCGGTTTTGGGAGGATTTTTAAAAATTATGTTAGACCCTGTAAGATAAATTGGTTAAAAATGATAAGCAATTTTTTTTTTTTTTTCTTTCACTAAATTTATTTTTAGTTTTTTCTTAAAAAAAATCTTTGTTTTTGAAAATCAAATCAAATCAAGCCATTGACTTTTGTTTTTAGTACAAGACACTAGAAAAACGCAAAAGAATGTTTTTTTTGTTGAAACCAATAGAACCGTGATGTATATTTAAACTTTGAATTTGATTCTCCGTTTGGGAAGTGGGTTGGCTTTTTGGCTTTTTGGCTTTTTGATTTTTTTGGCTATTTTAGCCTGGGCTAAAAAGCTTGGTTTGGGAAGGATTTTTTGGCTTTTTGGCTTTTTTGGCTTTTTTTGTGAGAAAAGAATGTAATGATTATGGGTTGGATGTGATGTTTTGTTTGTTATGGCTAAAATAGCCTATTTTGTTTTTCGTGGCTAAAATAGCCAAAAAAGCCTGAAAACCATCTTGCCAAATAGAGGCTCAGATAAGTCAATTTGAGAGAGGCATTTAAATGACACAGCCTCAAAAAACTCAACTCCAGTTGTTTCCTATTGGTGCTTTGGTGTTCTGTTTGTAAAAACGAACACATTTAACTTGAGGAGCATTCAGTAAAAGCATTCTATTCTTCTATAGAAGATGATTTCACTTCTCAATTGCAATTTCACAGCCAACAACGATAAGCAAATTTACTACAAGAAAAGAGCTGGGGACAATCTGATCTGCGTTCAGCTTTTTACCTCTAAAATTTACAAAAATTTAACACGACATCTCAACTAAGCAATACTACACCCTGCTGCCTCCAACTGCAGCTGGATGAGTTGACAGTTTTGTCAACAGCTAGAAGAAGCCACATAACACCAGAGTTACATCAGAGTATCCGCGTCACATTTAAATTAAATTAACCAACCGAGCCATTCCCAACATCAGAGTTACATATAATCTAGACGCAACACATTTTGAGTTAACCTTATTGTTACCAACATCAAGAGTTACATAGTTTACTGTGATTTGACCCGAGATAATTTGCAGTACTGTTCAACCTTGTTTTCCTGGAGTTGATCACACAACATAAGACTGGTCAGCACGTGGCCTGCCAAATATTGGTCGCATGTAATTATCATCAAACATCCTCCAGTAGTAATGAATGGTGAACACAGGTCTTTCCATTAGCATTGACAAACTATCCTTTGCACGGATAATATTGGTTGCGGTAGATTCTTCGAAGGAAACAAAAGGAAGGGTCAGATCCTCTTTGGGGGACCTTGGTTCCTGGCTATGGGAACAATGGGGAAGCAAATAGTTTATGAGTGGCTTTGTGAGGAAACCAAAAACCTGCAATGGGAATTGTTTTATTCTCAAAACTCCACCATTGGAAGACAAGGTTTATGGAATGTACATGTTTCTAAAGTGTAACTTTGGAATAGTTTACGATTTCAAGCGCATTTGTACCAACATCATAGTTGTCAAATCGAGATTCGTATCGTGAATCGAAATGACTTTGTACCGAATCGCGAATCGAATCGAATCAAATCGTGAATCGTAAAGATTTGGTCACTTTTTTAAAATTACGTAAAAATATATATTTACACATTTAGATATTAAATATATCTTATGAATATGAAATATTTAGACTTAAATTAATAAAAATGTTATTTTGAGTGATAATCATGCAATTTAATAGGTAAGTAGTTAACAAAGATTCTTATGTAAGATCTGTTGGCAAATAAATTTCAACTAAATTTATGACACGTATAGAGCCTATGATGGGAAGGTTGTAAGTAATCACTTCCCAAAAAAATCGTGAATCGAATCGCGAATCGTAAGATTTTGATAAAAGAGAGATTCACCTATAGATTCGTATCGATTTTACAAAAATTGTGAATCGAATCGTGAATCGAATCGCGAATCGTAAGATTCTGGTAACAGAGACCAACATGATAACAAGAAAAGAATAAAAACTTTATAGGTCACACTTACAACTATCTAGGAGTTGATTAACACTAGTAGTGAAGAGCATATAACTATATTAACTCACGATTGTGCTGAAGAGAACAACAATAATCGTGGTGGTAACCATTGTTGCATTAAGCGGGTCCCATGTAACACCAGAGTATGTGAACTGCATGAAACAATAAAGAATTTTTTACCTTATTATTTAAAGAGAATCTATTGCAGTAACCATTCATAATTTCCTACCGGGCCGTCTAAAAATCATCAAAGCAGTTTGGGGGGGGGGGGGGGGGGGGGGGGAGGGAAAGCACACCTGTTTGAATGCCAAAGCAATAGAGACAGCCCCTCTCATCAGCCCAGCCCACCATATTACTATCTATGTAAAACAGCAGGTCATCGAAAGTATGTCAGAAATTTTCTTTGTATGTGGTCAAAATACAGAGATTATAATATTCACCTGGTGTTTGAACGTGATTGATGATGATCTGTCAGCATTTCGGTTCATGTAATTGGAAAAAGCAGAGAGAGGAAACACAAAAGCCGCACGCCCAAGGCAAATGAGAAAGATTGTAGAAGCATATATGCCCAATGAAGTCCCAAAACTGCAACCAGGAAAAGGGTGCAGAAGAGTGTTCTTTGTTTAGTTATAGAGGACTCATAATCTGGTAAATTTTGTGTGAAGGAGAGAGGATTCTATTGATTTTACACATATCATCCTCCCTATGTGCACACATAGTTTTGTGCTTGTGTCTCAAGCGTACTTAGAAATCCTGAGAGCAGTTAGAATTTGCTCAGATGTCGGATTCAGAAGAATCCCTAAGCAGCAGGCTTGCGAGCATTTCAAAAAAATTTAAAAAGAGTCCATGTTCGGAAGGTCCATACGCAATATTTTTATCAATCATACCAGCAGCATCAATAAATTAATCTCAGCTGGTGATATTTGAGAGAGATAATTATTTGACGGGGAAAAAGAAAAGGTTCTCGGTCGTACTTCTGATTGCAAAACAGAGTACCTCAAAGAGGACAATTAATTTTTCTTGGTGAACAATGGTCCCAAGCAGTTTGGGGTTGCTAACAACAGCGTTTGTTTATTTGTTTTAAAAAAGGAAGAAGGATGTGAAACCTTAATAATTCTTGTGGTCAATAGAAGTCATAGTCCTTGTGCTTGGTCCTGGACCAAGTGTAGTCTTCATGTGATGAAAACTATTTCAGGAAAGGATGACTATTTAGTAAGGAATAGAATTTTGTAATCTTCAAGAATTAGCTTTTCATTTAGTTTATTAACAGAGAGGATCTTCAAGTCATCTGCTGATAATTGCTTGCTTTTGCTCAAACTAAAGGGAAAGAAAAAGGGTAGACAAAAATATGTTGGCTTGTCTGCTTGAGTACTAATCAGCTAGCTATATGGAAATGGAAGTGGTGGATACGATGTATTTTTTGAAAAAACAACATGCAAATACCAATTGTGTGATAATAAGTTCATGAGGTAGAAATTTATGAGACATTAATGGACAAACTTGTGTCAATTGTTACCTCAACTTGCTCGTCCTCCATTTTTCAATGTCTAGAGCATCCATTCCCACATAAAGAAATATGAAAGTTTCTGCAATAAAAGACATTGTGGCAAATGCATGCCTGCATCACAAGGTTAGAGAAGTGATGAAACCATCTCTACCTGATTATAATTTGTTTGTTCATAAGTTCATTTGTTTACTTTCTGCAAAAAATGTAAATAGGCAGAAAGGGTAGGACATCTTAGATCTCCAAACAATACTGAATCAATCCTAACAGGTGTGAAAAACATGCCATGGAAAATAACTACATTACTGCATAATCAATTCATACGTGCCTGGATGTAATTCTTGAACTCTCAGTCACATTGTGCCATGCATAATGAGACATTAGAATCCCACAAAAGAAGACAGTGAGAATTCCACTGAGCTGTAACAGCTGGAGAGAGCAATAAAAAAATTGAATCAATAAACTGCATGTATTGGCTTAAGCATCTATAATTCAAAGACAACTTTGCAAGAAACCAACGAAGTCCGCAAGCAAAATTTGATAAGAAAAGACAATGCCCAAATTAGGGCTCTCCCACTACGTTTACTCCTTGTGAAGGCCGGCATAGCTCCAATGCTCGGAAAAAGTTTTCTTTGGCTGTTTGTATAGCGATCCGGGTTTTTCCTCCATTGGTTTTGTATTCCGGACTCGGTTCCGTGGATCTCTGTTGTTGCATGTGTTGTATTTCCGTCCTTTAACTCTTTGATTTTGAGTTTAGAAATGTCTTGGGCGTGTTTCGAACAGGTTGGTTGAGTTTTAGTCTCTAATGTTGTTGCCTAGATTTTTGATGATCCGCTCGAACAGGTCCCTTTGCGCTCGAGCGGAGTTTGCATCCTTTCAGCATTTTGTGCGTCTGTAAAAATACTGCAGGGGTGTTTTTCACGCTCGAGCGGATTTCCTTATGCTCGAGCGGGTCGTGCTCGAGCAGGTATTTGACGCTCGAGCGAGTATTCGAAGTCTGTAAAAGTACTGGAGGAGTGTAATCTACGCTCGAGTGGGTCCCTTTGCGCTCGAGCGGGTTGTGCTTTGATGTTGTGCCTTGGCGCTCGAGCGGGTATTTTTGCGCTTGAACGGGTGAAGCTTTTGTGTCTTACGCTCGAGCGTCCTAATCTCCATTCGAGCGGGTCATACGTATATCAGATCGCAGCTGGGTCATTTTAAATTACTTTTTCAACTTTCTCTCTCTCTAACTTTTCAAAACCCTAATTTCGGCAGCCTTTCTCTCTACACACACACTCTCTCTCTCTCTCTAAGAATCCATCTAGTTCTAGAGTGTTTCTACCTTGGTTCCTTTGTATAAAAGGTAGAGTTTGGCTTGAGCTATCTTTGGATCCGAAAAAGTGTTGATTTGGAGCATCTTTGGGTTTCTTCATCTTTCCCTTTGGGCTTCAAACTTTGAGGTAGGGATAACTACTCATATTATGGTCTTTGACATAAACTTGTAGTCATTTTGATTTAATGTTGTAGTTAGGAAAGTTTGGGAGTTAGGGTTTCAAACCTTAAAATGTGTAAAGAGGGGTTTTTGTTCCATTGAACTAAATATGTGTATTTGAGCCTTAAAATAAAGTTGTTGAGGTCTATTGATGATATTTGGACCTTTGGGTCAATATTGAGAAAAATGGGAAAATACCTTAGTTGGGATTAATTGGGTCATTTGTGAAATTAACGACATTTATTATGAGATAATGAAATTGGTTTAGAAATAATGGAATTGAGAAGTTATGAGAATAAATGGTGGAGTTGGATTGATTAATCACTCACCCTTTAAAATTGTTGATAATTTATCTGTTGACGCATTTATTATCTGTTTAGAAATAATTACTTTGGGCTATCGGTGAAGGATAGTCTTGATTGTTGTAGACACTGCATGATAATTAGGTGAATTAAAACTAATCAATTAGATATGTCATTGAATATGACGGATGGAATAACATATTGAATATGTGCTTTGCTTGATCATTGTTTATGATAAGTGTTTAAATACATTATATGTATATTGTTTGGGAGGAGATAGGGGATGTACTCCATGGTTTGAGAGGAGATAGGGGATGGACTCTCAGACCTGTTTGGGAGGAGATAGGGGATGGACTCCATTAATACAGCAAATATGTGTATTAATTGAAGTATTAGAAGTGTTTTAATATGAGTTGCAGTCTCATGTGAATTGTGAAGTATGGAAGTGTTTTAATATGAGTTATAGTCTCATTAATGAATTGTTTGGCCAGGTTCTGAGCTATGATTATGAATTGAATTGTTTGGTCAGGTTCTGAGCCATGTTTATGAATTGAATTGGTTAAGTAAAGGAAAGTGGAATGAAACATGGACATATTTGTCATGGAACTGGAATATGTTATAAGTTGGTTTATATGAGTTAAACATTTATTAAATGCTAATGTTTTAGTTATTGCTCATATTATGTTTAACATATCTCTACTGGGCGTTGGCTCACCCTATATGAGACATCATTTTCAAGTGCAGGTGATATGCCACCTCCAACGATGTAGCTTGAGAGGCTGTAGAAGCTGAAGGCTTACTTTTGTAATTATTTTGTGTATTACATGTATGTCAAGCCAAGGGCTTACTTTGTGTAAAGAGTTAGAACTCACATTTTTGTTGAACCCAAGTGTTGACTTGGAAAATTGTAAGCCTATAGGGCATTTACTTTTGTTGTCAACATGTAATATCTCTGGTAAAAATATTCTGATGTTGGGAATATGATATCTCTTTCTTGTATCATGAATGTATGATTATGGGTTTATTTTGAGGACGTGACAGTTTGTGCAAAGGTTAAAGTAATTAAGCCTATCATTGTAAGAATTCTGAAGAATTTCTGTATATTCAATTGTATTTACTGAACAAAAAATACATCACTTATATAGAACACTAAATCTTAATCCTAAACGAATACATCACTGATATAAAATTCTAATAGATATAGAACACTAATCCTAAATAGGAAACAAGAATAAACCTAAACCAATCCTAAATAGGAAACAACAAGAATAAACCTAAACCAATCCCAAATAGGAAACAATTACATAGGAAACAATATTCACATAATATATATACTAATATTATTCTCACGCCCCCGCTCAAACTCAAGGTGTTTGGGCAGAAGCTGAGAGTTTGCCAAGAAGAAACTAAAACCGAGCAGTGGTGTGAGTCTTGGTAAAAAGTCAACAAACTGCAGAGCCGAATAGACGAAAAGAAGCGAGATAGAGCCGGACTGCAAATGCTGACGAACAAAGTGACAATCAATCTCAATATGCTTGGTCCGCTCATGAAAGACAGTGTTTTATGCAATCTGAATAGTACTGTAGTTGTCACAATAGAAGGAGATCGGGGAAGACTGAGAGATGCCCAAGTCAGAAAGAAGACAATGAAGCTAGACAACTTCAACAGTAGCATGAGCCATAGCACGATACTCAGCTTTGGCAGTAGAGCGAGCAACAACAGTTTGTTTCTTGCTTTTCCAAGAGATAAAGGAATCGCCAAGAAACATACAGAAACCAGACGTGGACTTGCGATCAGTAACATCACCAGCCCAATCAGAATCAGTATAGGCCATCAAATCCAGAAAGGAAGTAGAGGATAATAATAAACCCTGAAAGATAGTACCTCGGAGATAGCGAAGAATCTGAACCAAGGCAGCCCAATGTGTGGAGCAAGGAGTAGAGACAAACTGGCTAACCACATGAACAGCATAGGCAAGATCAGGACGAATAACCGTCAGATAGACTAAGCAACCCACGAGCTCTCGATATAGAGTAGGATCATCCAGAAGAACCCTATCAGTAGTGTTGAGCTTTACATTAAGCTCAATAGGGGTATCAGAAATCTTAGTGTTAGTAAGACCGACACGGTGAATAACCTCATTGGTATACTTGGCCTGAGAGAGAAAGTAGCCCTTGGGAGAAGAAACTACCTCAATACCAAAAAAATACCGCAATGGGCCTAGATCCTTTATTTTAAAGGTGCGGAAAAGATGCTGCTTGACCTCAGATATAGCAGAAGAGTTAGAACCGGTAATGATCATATCATCTACATACAGTAATAACGCAACAAATCCAGCAGAGGTATGGAGAAGAAATAAAGCAGAGTCCTGGGCACATGGATGAAACCCAAGCTCAGTAACAGCAGTTTGAAAGCGATCATACCAAGCACGAGGAAATTGTTTCAAACCATACAGAGTACGCCGAAGGCGATAAACCTGTCCAAAGGAATGGTGAAGGCCAGGAGGAGGACGCATGTAAACTTCCTCAGTGAGATGGCTATTAAGAAAAGCATTCTTAACATCCATCTGATAAAGAGGCCAAGAACGAACAGTAGCGATAGAGATCAAAGTACAGACAGTAGTCATCTTGGCAACAGGAGTAAAGGTCTCCTCATAATCAATACCATACTCCTATGAGAAACCTTTGGCAACCAGACGAGCTTTGTAGCGCTCAAGAGAACCATCAGAATAAGTCTTGACTTTGTAAACCCATTTGCAAGCAACTAGATTCTTACCAGTAGGCAAAGGAATCAACTCCCAAGTACTAGTTTTCTGTAAAGCAGACAACTCATCCTCCATAACTTGAACCTAATGAGGATCCTGACAAGCTTCCTTGTAAGACTGAGGTTCTGAAAAAGAGTGAATAGCAGACAAAAAAGTACAATAGGAAGCAGAAAAACATGTATTAGACCAACCCAACCTGTTTGGAGGATGACGTGCTCGAGTAGGATATCGGTATGCAATAGGATCAGAGTCTTCAGAAGCAAGAGGATCAGTAGCAGGGGTAGAGACAACTGGTGGAGAAGGAGCCTTGCGACAAACTAACAACGGAGGAGGAGAATAAACCGAAGGAGGAGTAGTAGCCAAAGGTGAAGTAGGAGGAGAAGATGGAATAAGCTTAGGAGGAACTGTGGAGATGTACTCGTCAGACGGAACCTCAGAAGGAAACGGATCAATATAAACCAAATCCTCTTTGGAAACTGGGGCAGTGAGAGGAGGAAGATGAAAGTAAGATAGACGTTCGAGAAAAGAAACATGACGGGAGACATAAAGACGACGAGAAACAGGGTCGTAACACCGATAGCCTTTCTTAGTAGGACTATTACCCAAAAAGACACAGAGAACAGACCGGGCACTAAGTTTGGTCCTATCTTTGCAAGGAAGAAAGACAAAACAGGCAGACCCAAACACACGAAGAAAGAAATAGTTAGCAATTTGGGAGAACAAAGCCTCATAAGAAGACCGACCAGAAAGAAAGGAAGTAGGCATGCGGTTAAGAAGAAAAGCAGTAGTAAGAACTGCCTCTCCCCAGAATGGAGCCGGAACTGAGGCAGAGAAAAGAAGAAACCTAGCTGTCTCAAGGAGATGATGGTGGTTACGCTCGGCTCGACCATTTTTGGCAGGTATATCTGTACAGAAAGTTTGGTGAATGGTACCTAAATTGGCCAAATACTCACAGAACTCATTTTTAAAATATTCCCCACCCAAGTCAGATTGTAACACTTTAATTGTAGACCCAAATTGAGTAGTAACCATAGACTGAAAGGTACGGTATATCTGATAGAAATCAGATTTATGAGTCATAAGATAAACCCAAGTGTAACGGGTGCAGTCATCAACAATGACACATAGTATGCAGAACCCCCTTTGGTGAGAATAGGAGAAGGGCCTTAGACATCAATATGAACTAAAGAAAACGGTGTAGTAGATATCGAAGTACTTTTACGGAAAGGTAAGGCTGTCATTTTGACAAGTTTACACCCCGACACTCGGTAAGTTGACTAGGAGAAACTTTACCCAATATACCTGACTGAGCTAAAGACCGTAAGCGGTCAGCAGACAAATGCCCTAATTTGGAATGCCACAAATAGAAAGGACTTGACAAAGAATCTAACTGAAAAGAAAAAAAGGCAGTCGGTGAGATAGTCATAGGCAGATACAAGCTCTCCACTACATAAAGGTCTTCAACTCTACGGCCAGTCCCAATCTGTTGCTTGGACATCCGATCCTGCACATAACAGATAGAAGAAGAAAAGATAACATCAAAACCAGAGGCATCAAACTGAGGAACATATAAGACAAATAAAATAGAGACTGCAAACATAGTAGACGGTAAGACAAACCCAATAGATATAACTGACATACCAGACCCATTAGCAGCATTGACAGTAATAGGAAGGGAGGGAGTACAATTCTGAAGTAAGGAGAGATGAGGAGTCATATAATAAGAGGCACCAGAGTCAAAATGCCAGACAGACGAAGAGATACCTGAAGAAGACCTAAGCATACTTGAATGAAGAGAGGAAACAATGGAGGCAGACGAAGATGGCTTGGAGGTAGACAGTGTATGCTGAAGTTGACTAATCTGAGCACTCAAGGAAGCCAAGTCAGGATCAGGAGCTGGAGTAGATGTAGTAGAACCGGTGGAAGCCTGAAAAATACTCGGAGAAGAAGGGCAAAACTGGGTCTGAGACTGCCGAGAATACGAGCCAAACAGACATCCCAATCCCTTCTTGGGACAGTGATACTTCTAATGGCCCCTCTGATGGCAGAAGGCACACTCATCTGAAGTAAGGAGCCCATTTTTGGGCTCTATGGAAGCTGAACCCGTCATCATCATAATGAATAAAAAAAAAAAACAATAGAGAACCGTAATAAACTAAAAGCTAATGGGGCAACTATGTAATATCAAGAAACTTGTTTGGTCCAAACAAGAATAAAAGAGAACAGTGGTCAGCCAAAGAAAAACACCCAGGTCCACCAGACTCAGAACGAGAGAGAGAGAGAGAAAGATGTCACGATGTAGGTCGTGACTCTGACAGGTGCGACTGATGTCACAATTCCAGCAACCGACGACGACGAAGTCGAAGAACTGATGTCTTCCTTCCACTTCCTAAGAAAACTTTGTCCTGTCTCTTTTCCTTCCACTCCTTTTCCCTAGTGGAAAAAGCATTTAGTTCCTACACGTATTCGATCTGAAAAAACAAGTGGTGCCTTTGTGTACTGTAACACGAATTTAGGTTTGTTACTTATACTCTTTTGTCTCACTGGGAAAAAGCATATGGTTCCTACAAGTATGTAATCTGAAAATTAAAACATTACTGGCTTCACCTGCTGATCACAAATACCAGTTTGTTAATAAAATGGACAATCATCATTACCTCAGCCAACATGTAGGATAGATATGCCATTAACGTCATTAAAGCAATTTCACGAACACTTGAATGTCTGCAGACAAACAAAGAAAAAGATTCTGAAACCAACTACCATCTAGCTCTCATCAATTTTCATGTAGGTTACAATGCTTACTTCCCAAAATTCAAGCCTTTGAGAATGTATGCTGTTGAAAGCCCAGTCTGCAAAAAAAAGAAGAAAAGAAGCAAATAAGACAAATTTTTTTGGTTGCATTTGAGTTATAAAGCATGGTATGGTATCACAATCACCAGTAGCACATACATCAGTTGGGTGCTCGGTAGTAATGTTATCAAATCTTACTAATCTACACACGTGCTGACATGCACACAAAGTATGTAAGCAAGTCCCTGAATCATGACAGAAGTGGATAACTTCCTCTTTTCTTCTTAATCATATATAAACCCATCCCTCTCTACTCTGATTCTGTTAATTCACAAAATGTTTTAGTTGAATAAAAAACCCAACTAAAATGATTCCCTATACCTCATAGTGCATTTGAAATCCAATTTTAAGCCTCTATGGCATATGATTATCACTTAGTTTAAAACTCAGTTAGTAACCATTACCAACAGAAATCCATCTTAGGTGTAATGATAAGAGTGAAATTTGAGATGTGTTTCTAGCAAAATTAGCTTCACAAGGCAGAATCACACAGATCATCAGGAAGAGAGTAAAATAGTGCACAAGAAAGGTAAAATATCACATAGGATATAGTAAGATACCTAGCATGCTAATTAGGAACGCAACATCAAATGTATCAATCAAACCAGGATTAAGGTGTCAGTTTCAAGCTTTATGAACATAACATATTGTGCAATGTTGTAAGAATCTAAACTTACAGCAACTCCAAGAACAGTGCTTGTGGAGAATAGGTACAAGAAATCTACAAGGACATGAGCAGCTGCCCAGCCATCAAGTCTATTGACATCGATCTTTCCAACTGCATTAAAGAGAACAACTGATGTTGCATCATTCACTACTCCTTCCCCAAACACTAGACTGTACAGCAAAGGAGACTCATCTTGATGTAGAACCTGCGTGAAAATTCAAGATAGTTAGGAAATCCATGAAAATAATTGGCCATAATTCATGAAACTGAAGCAGTGAACTCAAATATACAGTGCTAACCAACCTGCAGTGTGCACACTGTATCTGTTGAGGAAAATATCGTTCCTATTGCTGAATCAAATTGGTAAGAAATAAGGTTGAGCCAATGAGTTATATGATAAAAGAAATGTTAGTACATTATCATGGCATGTTAAACCAACACCCAAGGAAGGCAAGATGGATAAGGATCAAACCGAGATAGTCACGAGGAGTCAACCCAACAAACCCAATCTTAGGGAACATCCACCAGCTGCCTAAATAATAGTAACATTCAGTAAATTAGAGACCACTTAGATGAAATTAGTGTGTGAAAGCACACAAGAAACTTATCGAGAAGGAAATTACATCTGGAATAAATATGAAAAATAATGTATGACAGATAAATATATCACCAGCTGTGATAATGAGTGTTGATATGAAAACACCAACAACTCCAAACAGCAGGATGGTTAAGAAGTTTTGGAAGAACTGTTTCTTCTTGACCTGAAATCTGTTGAAAGAGCTAGAAAAGTCACCCACTGATACATTAACACAGCCATTTTGATTTGAACTAGTTCAAGAGTACAATTCATATGGAAGCTACCCTTACCCAGCATTAAATATTATAGGCGGAAGGAGATATATGAAGAACAGTTCTTCATCGAATCTTAGGATGTGAGAACTTTTCCCCTTGCTTATTAACAAGATTATTACTCCAGTAATGCATCCCTGATTTATAAATTTAAAATAATTCAAATAGAATTACGGAAGAAAGAAAGGGAAAAAAGTAACAAAATTAGTGCAAACCTTGTAACAGAAACAGAGGAAAAAATAAAAAATAAAAAAATCAGAGCCATAGTAATAGCATGACCGAATCTATTAGCCCATGTTGAGTTGGTGTGATGACTTATTGTGGTCTCTCTGTCTCTCAACCTTTGGATCCCTAACTTGGGTTTGCAAATGTAATTAGAAGCCAACAAAGCACAATGAGGATTGGTGTAAATCATTATCTTCTTTAGTCATGGTACTTCGTAATTCCTATACTATCAGGATTTCACTAACATGACAAAGACGTGATTTCTCATACAAACGATTGATCAAAATATACTATGAAGACAAGAAACATTCATGTCTCTGCTTGCAAAATTGCACATATTCAACTTATGTCTCCTGAAACGCCATATTGAATTCTAATCCCAAGTGACACAGCTCTCACTTTTACCTTTTGAAATTAAAAAGATACGACCGACAATATGCCTTTAGAAGTACCAAACTACTATGCTATATTTCGTTCGCTGAAATAAGATGGAATGGAATGGAATGGTCAGCTTACAATGGTGAATAATGATTTCATTTACAATGTGTCCTTGATTATTTTTCTACTCAATCAACCAAACATGGGAATAAAGACGACATTTTGATGGAATCCATTCCACTCCAATCTGGTGAACCAAACACTAGCTTTTAGTGCCAGACACAATCCCCATGAAATCCAACCATTTTTGAAGAGTTTTTTTCCCCCTTTCAAACCCCACTTTAAATTCCATTCATTCCAAACACATCAAATTCCATTTCGAAATGGCAATTCAATTCCGTCAAATCCCCAGCAGCATTTCAAACACATTATAACGTATTTCATAATGAAATGTCAATTAAAATCTAGAATGTTGAATTCGCAATTGAGGTTCAACAATCAATCCATATATGGAAGGTAAGTACGTACTATGTAAAGAGAAAGGAAAAAAAGAATTACGATGAAAATAGCAGTAATGGATTCGTTAACCCATCGATTTTCTTCGAACAAGTGACCAATCACCAAACACAGACACAGAACTGCCACGAACACCGTTATCGGAACTACCTTGCCATGCCCATCACCCCCAAGGTTCATTACTGATTCAAAATACGCCATTACTTCACATCTGCAACTAATAAGAGAGAGAGAGAGAGAGAGAGAGAGAGAGAGAGAGAGGCGTGCTCGTTTGTTTGTTTGTTGCATTGCCCGGGAAAATGAAGAAGAGAATCGGGCAGTCCTAAGTGTACGCAAGTTAGTCTGACGCGTGGCACTTTTTCCATGACGTGTAGTGACACGTGTTCGAGTTTTGCATGTTGTCTCGCATCGCATGGTCGTCGCCATCCTCTGCGATTTTTTTTAAAATTTTTTTATTATTTTTTGGCCTTTTTATTCAAGAAAAATAAGATTATTTTATTTTAAATTCATGATTAGTGTTTTTAAATTTTTTACTAAAATTTATTTTATTCTATTTAAAAAATACTAATATAAATTTTAACAACTCTACTAAGGCTCCGTTTGGGGACTTACATTTTTAGTCAAAAAGTCAAAAAGTTACCATTTTAGCCAAAAAGCCAACAACTCATACCAAAAAGTCAAGATTCTCTTTTCTCTCTACTTTTTGCACATCTTTTCGTAATTAGTCAAAAAGTCATCCCAAACATATAAATTTTTTTACCTACTTTTTTAGCCAAATAGCCAAAAAATTACCAAATTAGCTTGTTCCCAAACGAGGCCTAAGAAGTAGACAGATTATTCAAAAAATAGAATAAATCCGCAAGTGTATAGGTGTGTGCCGATAATTATTAGGACATAATTCTCCTTAAAGTGATGGGCCTTCGTTTTGTAGAATTCGTGGCCTTGATCTATAGTTATGACCCTCTTATTTTGGATTAGGCCCATTGTTCTAATTTGGTTGTGTTTTGGTCCATGATTATCCTTAATGTGATTTTGATCTCCACGTTTAAATGACTTAAGTTTTTTTAAAAAATAATAATAATAATAGATTGAGATTGGTTAAAAATTTGAAAGATTTAAAGTTGATTCGGCTATCTAGACTTGTTGACTTAAAAATTTTACCAGACGATTTAGATCTTATTAATGTATTAAAAAAATATATAAAACTTAAATATTTAAATCTATAACATAAGATTGCCAATAATGTATGTTAAAAATATATATATATATATATATTGGTCGTGTTATTATTAGTGACGGTATTCAGCCACATTCATAAAATTATAATTTTGAAGTCGTGTCACATCCATGAAATGATAATTTTGGAGTCGTGTTATTAGTGATGGTATTCGGTCATATCCATAAAATGATAATTTTGGAGTCATGTTATTATTAGTGATGGTATTTACTCACATCCATTAAATGATAATTTTGGAGTCGTGTTATTATTAATGATGGTATTTAGTAGGAGTGAGTGTGGGTTGGTTGCGGTCACGGAATTTTTAATTCGCCATCCGTCTGCCAAGTTGGCAGATTAGAAAAAATCAACCTGCATCCATCCGTTAATCCAGCGGATGTGAATTGAGAGGATTGGCGGATAGATGCGAATCGGTTTGGCCGTTTAAAATTTTATAAATTTTCAATATAATTCAACTTGTGCACTTCCTAAAAAAATATATATATTATAGTCAATGACTTGAAAAAGTATTACAATCACTGCATGTCTCATCCAAAGAAAGAAAGTTTGAAACTTTAGAAAATTACAATCACTGCATGCCTCACTTACATATTACAATCACAACATGCCTCATCCACATAAAGTATTACAATCTGTGATTCTTAAAATATAAAAACAATGCAAATCATCAAAATCGTGAACATAACAGTAGTAGAGATTGTATGTCTCTGTCTTGTTACATCTATATCTGTTTTTAAAAACAAAAATCAACTAACATATCATCTTTTTTATTTTTTATTTTTAGAATTAGATTTAAAAATAAAAAAATATAGATAAATAATATATTTATTTTTTTCAATTCAAAAAATATATTCAAGTTGAAAACTATTTTTCAATAGAATATATTCAACATAATATTTAAACTCCTTTTCAATTAAAAACACAAATAGAATATCTAAACAAATTGAAAACATGAAGTTTTATAAATTAGCAGGGGTGCTCACGGTTTGGTGGTTCGGTTGCGGCCAAAGGAATCTCAAATCCGCTATCCGTCCAAAACTAGGCGGATTGGAAAAAATCAATCCGCAACCATTCGTTCGTCATCACGTATCTATATAAAATGCGGTGAATCGGTTCAATCGATCGATTTAGGCAGATCGAAATATCCACTGCTGACCCTAATATTCAGTGACATCTATGAAATGATAAAGGTCTATAGTTAGCTGGGCTAGTTTTAATGAGCCACACGCGGGCTTGCACTTTACGTAGAGGTCGTTGAATGGGAAATTGTATCCACACTAAAAAATTAATTAACTCTTAGTGTTTTATTAAAGGAAGATTTTCCAATAAATCCTAATTGTTGAACTTATGATCCAATTAGTTCCATATATTTTCTAATGATCCGTTTGGTCATTTTCGTTGAGAAAGGACGCAATTGCCATTAATATGGATGTTGGTGTACACGTTACAACTGGATGCGTGTGTGTTTGGTTAAGCGCGTGTGTTTTACGTGGTTAATGGTATGGTAAGAGTGTGTTACACCTTCATAATTTGAGATTGGTGGTGGTCACGTGACACATTCGTGGGTGCCACACAACAAAAAAGCGCACTAAGGCTTTTTATGCTGTAGTGTTTATGTGGGTTGTGTGACACGTGTTGACATTCGTCTCTATCTCCCTGACAATGGAAAACAAATCGATACAGTCATAGATAAGATGTAGTAAACACACAGACACACAACCCACACACCATGAAAATACACACACCAGTAAATACATACACACACAAACCACAAACCAAGAAAATACACATACCAAGAAAATGCACATACAAGGAAAACACATCCGCACAACCACACCTATCCTAAAAACACAATACACAAACCCCCTGAAACACACGACCCACAGTTACACAAGCCACACACCAGACTGAGTCAACATTGCAAAGAACGAAACATCAACGGAAGTTTTAACATCGGTATGCCACCAACAAACGAAAAAATCAACATTGCAAAAAGACACCGCAAAACACCGCACCGACACATAACCGTCACAGCAAAACACCACGAAACATCAATTTTTCTAGGCAACCAAGCAAAAAAGAGGCAATTTTCTTCAATTTTCCTGAATTTTCTCAACCTTAAGTAAACAAACCCACAAAAATTACTCAATTCTCAGGCAGTCGAATTGGATTTACCTCTATGGTTTCTTGAATTTCTCTCTCTAGGGCCATCGAACAACAGACTGAGTCTCAAATTAGAGGAATTGGGTCGAGTTAGAATTAGGGTTTTCAGAGAAGAAGAAGAAGAGGAAGGACGACGAGAGTGGCAAGAGCAGAGAGAGGAGAAAGAGAGTAATGAGATTGCATCAACCGATTTCTATATAAGACGCCATTGCAAATTGGTGTTGGGGTTGTTATTGTAGGGTTGTCCTAAGTGTAATTCCCCAGCATGTTTGTGAGAATAAGAATTACAATGGAATAGCCATTAATGGACAGAGAGAGAATATGAAAGAGAGATTGAGAGAGAGAGAGTGAGAGAGAGAGAGAGAGAATTATTATGTGGAGTGGTTTGTTTGTTTGCTAGACGTATGAGTTAACAATCAAACACATCCAAATCAACAAAATGAAGGGTATAATCGTCCACGCCACAACGCCATACATGGAAAATAGGATCAAAAAGAATAAATCTCTCCACCTGTAGGACTTATCGGATCAAAAGTTTAAAGTTGGGACTGATTGGTATAATTGTTTGTGAGATGCGATTTATTGGTAAATAATCCTTTAATTGTTTGTGAGATGCGATTTATTGGTAAATAATCCTTTATTAAATTATTTAAGGTTATAATATATTCTTAGTATATTCTTTTCTTTCTTTCTTTCTTTCTTTCTTTTTTTTTTTTTTTTTTTTTTTTAAATTACTGTTTTGAGGTATACCTAAATAAAAAAACAAAGCTGCTACAGACCTCGAATGACATTGGCGCGAATGGAGCGAATGAAGTCTGTCCATTCATCACGTACAACAATACCTGTGTGGATTTCACGCTCTTACAAAACAATATTACGACTTAGAAACAAACAATATTACGACCTAGCAGCTCTGCTTCTTGAGAGATAGAAAGACCACGACCTAGGTGGCGACGATGATGATGACCAAGGTGGCCACTGATGACGAAGAAGACCACTGGTGACCATTGACCACCGTCTACCACTCTCAAATTCCTTCGATTTCACTGAAAATTTCGGCTTCACCCACCAACAACGAACTGATTCGTGGGTCACTGGTATTGCTTCAAACATTGACATTTGCTTTACATTGGTTGAAATCTGGTTGGTCTATGATTTTGCTCATATTTTCAATATATTGGTTGTAATCTTCTTGGTCCATAACATGATTTTGATGTTTTTGTATTGATGCATTGTATGTGTTTGTTGAAAGTCCACATAGAAAGAGATTGAACATTCATTGAACAAAATCTATTATCTATTTTGTAGAAAATGAAGATGTTTGAACTGTCTTTGTAGATAGCTCCCAGCTTACTTATTTTCTTCTTGTAGAAAATGAAGTTGTTATCCATTTTCTTCTTGTTTTTTGGTGGAATGTGATATGCCTATAACTTGAATTTTGTATGTGATAATTTTTGAATGTCATAAAGTATAGTGCCCCCAGCTCGTTTCTTTCTCGATAGCTCCCAGCGTGTTTTTTCTCGATATTGTCCTTTATCTTGATTGTCACATGTTTCACAAAATTCTCGATAGTGTCCCATCAAAATTCTATTTCACATGTTTTTGATCAGTTCCTGTTTCAAATGTTTTAAATTGTCAACCTAGAAGCTTCATTTTAGCAACAAAATGATGGAAGGTTCAAACAATCATAGTTAGGAAGTTGAAGAACTTAAGAGTGGTGAAGTTTAAGAAACAAGGCAGGGGATGTGTTTTACTTTAAAGTAAGAAGTGTATGCATTTTATGCAAAATATGCGAAGCACTTTGGATTTGCTATAGCTTATGGAACACAAAATTTTGGTAATGATGGGGAACTAA